AACCATTGTGCTACCAGGGCTCCTGTCCTTTTGGCAAGCCATGGTGTCATCAATATCCTTCACTAACACTGTAGTTTCCGTTAGTGGCTTCATGACCGTGGAGTAGTCAAAGGCTTTTTAACCAGGACGTAAAACTACCAGATCTGATATATATGGTAGTTGAAAGTCCCCTCACAAGAAAGTTTTAAAATAAATACATGAGGCATCTAATTTGTCGTTAACCAAACTTTCATTAGGCAAACGACCAGCCTCCAGTTGTGTCTGGAATAACTCTGGCAGGATGAGGCGGGAACAGGGGCGCCACCCCCGCTCGCCTCCCCTTCACTCCTCCCTCCCCTGGCAGGGCTGCAGGTCCCAATTGCGTTTTAGCTCCTCTGGAAGACTGCTAGCATGATAATTAAGAGAGAATGCAGCAAGAAAGGAAAAAGAGAGAGCTACATTTACTGGTTCTAGTCCATTATTTTAGAATAATATGTTACTAGGAACCGTATTGCTTTTGCATCTGATTTTTTAAAAATACTACCATTCAAAACAAGTTGGTGAAGCTGCTAATTTTGTTTGATTTACATATTTATTTATATACCCATCTTATCCCACGGAAAAATTTGAGATGTTTAGCAAGGCTAATCCCTAGCATTTATAGTCCTTTAAGGTTTACAAAGCAGTTAAACATACTTTGTCTCCCTTAATCCTCACAGTGTGTGGTATTATTATCTTAGTTGTACAATGGGAAGGAGGACTGGCTCTCATTCTAGAACCTGCTTCTGTATTCAACTGTTCACATCTGTCATCCCATGGAATGCTTCCAGCATTCACAGGCCCCAGGAAGAGCATGCCGTGTTTGCTGGCTTCTGCTTTTTCAAACTTTACTGCGATGATCTTGGACTTGTCTCTTGGTAAACCTGTGCACGCTGCTTTAAGGTATTTATGCTTAGGAATGCAACTGCAGATTGTTACCATGTGTGTGTCTTAGCAAGAAAATTCGACATTCTTTTCCCAAGTGGTTAACCCATTTACGAGGGCGTTAGTCCCCCCGGCCCCCTCCCAAAAGGGAAAAAGCTCTGCTGGGCAGAGCTTTCCTAGTACATATTTTTCTTGTTAGGTGAGCATGGAACAACTCGTTCTGAGTTATTGCAACCAGTGGCGTCACCTGAGAAGGTTCTCTCTGGTCACAGTGAATTTTTTTGTAAAAGCAGTTTTGCTTGAACCTTGTTGTTTTTTTGTGGTGGCCAATTTAAGAGAACAACATGAGGCTGTGAAACTGTTTCCTGCTCGGGAAAAATGCTGCAGAAACTGTTGTTGAAACTGAACACAGCTTACAAGGACAGTGTTATGGGAAAAACTCAAGTATACGAGTGGTTTTCTCATTTCAAAAAAGGTGAAATGTCTTTTGATGACAAACCTCATTTTGGATGTATGTCAACTTCCAAATGGAAGAGGATGTCAACTCATGGTGCATTTGGAGTTCATTGCATCAGGTTAGACTGTTCATTAAGTTTTCTATTTAGAAGTTCTGAAAAGATTGTGTAACGCTGTGACAAAAAAAGAGACTTGCTTTGTGGCAGATGGGGGACTGGTTTTGCCCCGACAATACACCAGCCATCTCAGTGAGCCAGTTTTTGACCCAAAACAACATGCCTCTCTTGACCAAATGCACTTGACTCACCATTTTGTTATTGGACCTGGGCTTGAAGGGGGCTCTGTTTAGAATTTCATGCTTATTCAGGATTTTATAGCAGCACTTGGTTCATACTCCCCCCCACACCCACCCCAATCCCAGTGCTGCTCTTCAAAGGTTTGGGAGTCAAGGTTATATGAGATGGGCAGTGTTCCCTCTTCTAGACAATTTTACTCCTAACATTCCCCCTGCCCCCAAGGCAACCCTTATCTTTGCATTCTTAAACCCAATGGAAACATTGTCTTAATTTCATTGAAAGACATCAACATAACAGTTTTCCTTTTAGAAACAGTTTTCTGTTGGTTCCCCTACCCTCTGGGTCCCGGGAGTCTCCTGTAGCCAACTCCAACGACAGAAAGTTCCGCAGGTCTTTGTTCCGGGTCCCGACCCTCTCTCCACATTCTCTTTATCTCCCATCTTCATGGGCCTCACATGTCTGCACTGAATCTTTCTTCTCCAGTTGTCTTCCTAACACTTGGTGTCTGATAGGGACCACAACCTTGACATGCCGAGCAAAACCAAACCCAATGGCCATTCAGTCAATACTGACTCACAGTGACCCTACAGAGCAGGGCAGAACTTCTTATGGAAGGAGACCACCTCGTCCATCTCCCTCAGAGCAGCTGGTGGGTTTGAAGGGCTGTCTGCATTAGCGCTAGCGCGACACTGCTGGGTACCTATGACACGAACACCTCCTTAGTAACAGTGCCCTGGTTTTGGTTTGCACCTCTTCCCTAGATAGCATGTGCGCTTGACTGGTGGCGGAACTATCGCCATCCTGAGGCGTGGTTGGCTTAAAGTAGGGGGGAACAAACTTTTTCTGTAAAGGCCAGATAGTCAATATTTTAGACTTTGTGGGTGACTTATGCCTCTGGGGCACACTTCTCCAGCCCCAATATATCATAAATGTAAATGTTTATTGCTTCTCAGCTTAAGGCCCCACATAAACTGGCTTCTACCCGTGACTTGCTTGCATGTTTCTCACTACTGGCTTGATTACTCAGTATGGTCCCTCTCTTGGTGTTTAAGGAGGATGAAGACTGAAGTGTCCAATCTGGTGGGGTGACGCCGACTCCCATGAGACCGACAGAAGTAGCCTCCTTTTCTCACAAGTTGCGTGACATGTAAATGCTCTTTCCTCGGCCTTGGGAGTCCTTACCATCCATGTCTACTAAAGTTTAACGCTCAGCTGGAATGCATCTGAATTCACGTGGCTTCTCATCTCTGGACAGGGCGGTGAAGTTCCTTGCACCTTCACAACCCATCACCCACCTCTCCAGTCAGCACCAGCATGCTGCACCACGGGATCCCTTTCTACACAGCAGACAATGGAGTAACCTGTGGAGTTGGTAAATGGACAAGCACAGGGGGGTGAAACAGTTTGCCCCAACATACAGCTCAGAGACTCTGAAGTCTGTGCTCATTAGACTATGCTATCTATCTTCCTCTGCCCCACTGGACCATGAGCAACTGGAAAGCAGACACCGTGATCCTGTTGGTGTTTGCAGGTGGCACAGCCTCAGGCACTGCCATCAGAATGTCCTCAACCTCCTGCCTTTTCCTTGATGGTCCTATTCTTCTCACGAAAGGTTGGGTCCCCACAGGGGTGCATAAGCAGTGAAGAATCTCTCAACTACTCACTAGGTTCAACCACTTAAGGTTGGGTACAGACTCGTATGATCGTTTCAAAGCCAGCTCTAAGTTTCCAGTATGAGGTAGTTACCCAATTTCAACTTGAAGATCTCAGTGTAGTGGTGGAGTCTAGCCTGTCAATCAGGTCACAGTCTGATGGTACCTCCTTATGGGTGTGGCCTTTTCATAAGGAGGATCCTGGGAACCTCCTCTGCCTTCACCTTTCTGTTGCTGAGCCACACTAAGACCTGCGATGTACTTGATCTGGACTAGGCTGGGGTGCTATTTTGATATACAATTACTCCTTGATATAAAACTCTTTCCTATACATATACATGTCTCTGGATTTGTTTCTCTAATCAATCTGGCTTAACAAAGTAAAATGATCAGCCTCAGAATTCTACTGCTGGTCCCAAGGGTGGGAGACACCTGCTCAATCTCCCCACCATGTGGATGTTGGGTGGGATCTGGGGGAGGGCCCACAGGTGGCACAGAGTGAACTGGGCAGGCTGCAGACACGAGTGAGCTATTAGTGGGACAATTTAGTACCGTCTAGTTTTTGCCACTCTAACCATGAATTTTAAAACAATACAGGACAGTGAGCATTAGGGCTCCTTTTAATGTGCCATGCTGAGAGTTAACTTTTATTAACAGCTTTATCTTCCTGACTTCTTCAGAAATGAAGAAATCAATAACCTATTTTTTGACTACAAACCCAAGACTGCCTGTGTGTGTCTTTTCAAATGTACTAGACAGAATTAAGTGGAACCAGGCAGTAAACCTTTGCAGACACACTGCTGGTTGCAAGTAAGACGAATGACACAGTCATCAAAAACAAGACCAAATTGTCCTTGGGGTAAAATTACTGACATCCACACGCCCTATCAACCGTGAGCAAACTAGGGTCGTGCCCAGGGCGTGATCACAAGTTGAGCGTATTCTCTACCACTGGCAAGAATCATGGAATCCTGCAAACTACCCTCCCCCGTGGAAAGGACTGTGACCAGAAGGTGGTCTGCCCAGAGGCTAGAAAGCTAAAGCCAGAAGGGCAGGCATTGACAAATTCAAGGATGCCACCCCACCTGGCCCCACTGAGCAATCGGCAGTGTCATTTACTCTTCTGGCTGGTTTCTGGGACCAGGCTACCTTGTACTTTCAGCCCCACCCTCTAGCAGTGATTTTCCCTCTCCGAGCTTGTCTGTCGGGGTGATGAAACTGAGAAAGGAGAGGTGGGCAAGTGAGTGGTTTGGTATCTTATGTCTTAGAACATTTCCCCCAGTGGACAGTTTTCCTGATAGCTCAGTATGTCCCTAAAAGCAGAGTAGTTTGTGGGGGTGGGGCTAAGGGTGGATCCTTTCTCTCTCTTTTAAGGGGTTTCTGAAAGGACTCCAGGGACGAATTAGTGTACACTAGTTAAATTTCTGGAGCCTTTTAGGGATCTACACTTTAGGACCATCAGAAATCTTTGTGTAGCACATTTGTCTCACAGACTTCTGCTGTGGGCTGTGGTCAAATGGGCATGCTGTTCTAATTCAGTTGAACACAAAAAAGGGGTCAAAGTGCCTTTTTGGTACTGTATGCACAATGCTTCTGGCAGTAGAGCGTTTCATCTCTTGATAGAACCCCAACAGCGTGTTACTGGGGCAGACAGAAACAAGTTTTTTGACTCTTACACATGAGCACCTACACGTTATTTGTTCTCCAGGAACCAGATCAATGTTTTATTTCCACAATTTGCTTGAGAGAGGCCATGGGGAACACAACACCAGCAGGCAGGGGTGGGGGTGGGGAAAAGGGTGAGGGGGGGGTTACTCAGGCCTGGATATTGCTCTTGGCGCTGAAAGCCAGGTAGTAGATGGCGGTGCCTATCAGGGCAGCCAGTACCTCCGTGGAGACCCAGGGCCCGTTCCAGGCACCCGGGTGCTTGACATCCACCGTAAACAGGGGGCGGATGAACGAGACATCCTCGTTGTTTCTCTGGGCCTTCCTCAGGAGGCTGTAAGTCTCCTCGTCAAAGAACCTGACCTCATAGGTGCCGGAGTGTGCGTGTTTGTGTTCCATGCTCCAGGACACCTGGTAGCGGCCCATGTCTTGGCCCCGAGTGACGGGAAACTGCTTGCCTCCGACTTCAGCATAGAGAGGTATGCTCTGTCTGCCATCCTTCCACGTCAGGGAGAACTCCACAATAAACACGGTCTCGGTGGCGATGACGGCGTCAGAGGTAGTGTAGTAGGAGGGGACTATCTCAGGTACCTCACTGGTCTCTGTGCAGCAGCCCAAGAAGCCAGCCAGAAGCAGCAGCACTGAAGTCTGCGTGGCCGCTGCCATCTTCTCTCCACCAGTGCTACAGGGCAAAGAGGACAGCGATTGACATAGCAGTCACTGAGTGGCCCCATTGATAACCACAAAGTTGGAATGAAGTCCACCCAGAGAAATCTTGGAAGCAAGCCATGGTGACCTACCGAGAAGCAGCCACTGAGCCCCTCTGGGGCACGCTTCTACCGACACACACGGGGCTGTGTTGCGTTGAGGTCAATGCCACAACAACTGCCCACCACTCAGAGCTGGTTATGAACGTTCTCCCAGTTGCTAGGGACAAAAATACCTGCGATGATAGCCTCAGAAGACGGCGACAGTGACAGCCTCCCTGACTTCACCTTTTTGGTGCCTCTACCCTGAGCACTGCCTCTCACATCACTTGGCCACCTGACCTAGGTGAGCTCCCGAGACAGAACACACACTGAATTAGATGCTGGAGGGCTAGGCACACGGGGATCTCCTTCTCTCTTGCTGCCTGCGGACCAAACAGCCCTGACTAGCTTGCTGATGATGCCATCCCTTTTGGGGGTGCTGCCCATGGCTCACTAAGTGAATGTGCCCACTACTCTCCTTGGAGCCGTGAGGAGCAGTCCTGAGGCTGAGTCCAGCATGAACTTCAGCCAGTGAGATTCAGGGAAATTAAACGATGACGATTTAAAACTAAAGCTAGTAGGTTTGGGGGGAACTTGCTACAAAGAAAGAAGACATATGATCTTGAATTTCAACTTGGTGGTAAACAAGCATCCCTTGGGACATGGCACCTGCTATCTCATACTTGGGCAGAGCACAAGCTTGCTTGTCAGCGAGCTGGCCCCAAAGCAGGTTTTTCCTTTCTGTCAGAGAGCAACTCGAAGCAGGCAACTGGCTCACGGTAGCGCTTTCCCCCGTGGTTAATTTATGCTCCAGATCACGGAATTTCTCAGTGACGGCTGAGCCGGTTACGTGAGTCCGGGAATGATACAGATGCCAACATTCACGGAGTGCTTTCTCCATACCCCACACCACACTGAACACTTGACTTGTGCCAGCCCATTAGTATCCTTTTTACAAATGAGGAAATCGGCAGAGATGAAATGACATGCTTAAGGTACCATCTCAATGCGACCCTTCAGGAGAGGGTAGAATTGCCCCTGTGGGTTTCCGAGACTGTAACTCTGTCTTCCTGTCTTTCTCCTCCCAGAACAGCTGGTGGTTTTGATCTGCTGACTTTGTGGATCACAGCCCGATGTGCAACCACCATGAGTTGGCATAGACCATCACTCACTCACTACCATCACGGTAAGAATGACTCATAGTAAGCCCCTGTAGGTTTCCGAGACTGTCAGTTGTTTATGGGAGTAGAAAGCCCAGTGTTTCTCCCCAGGAGCTGCTCGTGGTTTCAAACTGCTAACCATGCATATCACAGCCCAATGCGTAAGTAACCACTACACCCTCAGGGACCCTTCGGGTAGGCCATACAGAGGCTGAACTGGAACCCAGCAGCTAACCATGCCAGCTGCCTCTGCACCTCCAGTGTACCTGGTCCTCCCTGTGTCCTCCACGCCCTTGAATGCTTCAAGTGACCACCAAGCAGCCAGCACACTGCTCTGTGCTGGTGCTCCTGCTCCTCTGCGCTCAGACAACCTTGTTCCAGACCACAGCTTTCCTTCTGAAACTTCAGGGTTCTCCCCGATCCCAGGAGAAGGGTGGCTTCAAGCTATTTTGGACTTCTAAATGAGTGCTGTTCCTTCCCCATTTGCTTATCATCACCTGTGTCAGCATTTCTTGGTGTAAGGATTCACAAATTAAGAAGTATAGATAAATGGCACATATTGGGGAGAAGGGGAGCCTATAAAAATACCTTTACTAACTGGCTTAACACAGAAAAACAACTTTGACTTCAGTAATTTGAACTTCTTTCTAATACCATGGGGATTTCACAATGAAAACAACAACAACAACAACAAAAACCAGGAAGCAGTTCTTGCTGGAGTTTCTGGACCAAGACAGCACTTTCACCTTCAAACAGGGAACTGCTGAGGGAGGCGCAGTGGCGGCCAGCACTTTCTAGTCCTGGCACATGACCTTGGAAAAGGAGTTGATCAGCCCTTTCCAGCTTCAGTTAGGTCGCTCCTAAAATGGAGAGAAAAAGGCCTTCCCTACTTGAGTTCAGGAAAATGCCTTCCATACCCAAGTTTATAGCGAGGATTAAGAGTTGGCGCATATGTGAAGACTGCAGGAGCACCTGACAAATGTCAGGTCCCTAACACTGGGTGACTGGATCGGGTGCTCCAAGCCACCCGTACTTCTCCATGGATGGGTGCCCACTACGTGCAGCTAGTCTACAGAATGGAAGTCCCAGAGGGTCCCCTGTGTTAGGGCTGAGGTCCTTGTTCTCAGCCCCAGGGATTGGATTACTAGGTCACTTGGACCTCTTCTATCTCAGAACACCCACACCAAACTGCCATAGCACTGGTGCCCACTCACCAGGGAGCCTACAGGGCAAGAGAACTGCTCTGATTAGTTTCTGAGACGGTACCTCTTCATGGGAATGGAAAGTCCCAACTCTCTCCCTTAGCGTGGCTGAGAGTGGCTGGTGGTTTCCAACAGCACATCTTGCAGTTAGCAGCCCAACCTATAACCCCTATGCCACCAGACTAGGGCTCCTTATCTCGATGTAAAATTGTAAAAGAGAAATGAAAGAAAACTGGATGGTTGGGTAGGAGAAAATAGGCCACGAGCATGCAATGAGGCTTTAACTAAAGGAGGTCATTTATTCTCCCATTTTACAAATGCGGAAAGAGAGGCTCCTTGGGATGAATTGGGTCACGATTTTCCCGAACAGATCTTAATTTAAGATTAAGATTTTTCCAACACTGTGAAAAAAACTGATGGCCAGAATTGCGTCCTAATTGCCAAACTAAACAGCAGGCGATGATGTCAACACCCAATTTTCCCTCCTCTAGATGTTCTCCCAACACACTCTGACGTCGTGTGGCAGGAAGCCCGGGGGTCTCATTTCCCGGCAGAGAGGCGGGGGCAGCGGCTCCGCCGGCCACGACCTCACAGGACCCTCGTCCGCTCGGCCCGGCAACCCCACGTGGCCCGGCGCCCCCCGCCCCCACCGCCGACTCCCCCGCGCGTTCCCGCGGGCCGCAGTCCGCCTGCGCACGAGCCCTCCGCGCCCCCGCCGCCCGCGTCCTCCACGCACGCGCCCTCGCCAGCGAGGCAGGCCCCGCCCCTCCCGTTCTTTCACCTTTTTATCAGGCCGCCCCCTCCAACCTTCCTGCCAGTCTCGGCTCCTCGAGGTCCCCGTCCTGTGCCCCGCCGCCTCCGCCCCTGAGCCCTCGGCTGGCTGGTGTGTCGGAACCGACAGCACTGGAGCCGCCAGCGAGCCTCGACCGCAGACGAGGAAGGAAGCCGACGCGGCGTGCGGGAGCGCGCACGTCCTGGCACGTCGCG